CGTGGTTGCAGGCCCGTAAGGACTAGCGCCCTAACCGCGCAACTTGTGCGACGAAGCTGGCATGATCCATGTAGGTACGGACCCCGCAGCTTCCCTCGCGTATCCTTCCTACTAGTCAGGTTAATCCCAGGGCTTGCCTTTAAACGAGAGGTCAGTCGTGCTGAGGAATTTGTCAGCTTTAAAATGAATAAATGAATTGAAGGTGTATCTTTTAACAAATCACGAATCAGTAGCCTGACAAGAAGGTTGCATAGTGAAAAACGCCACCATTTTTTTCCGTGGATACGGTCCCTCCCAGGGTAGCCGAACCTTCGATCGTTCCTAGGTCATTTTGTTAGTGTCTGGGAAGGTTATAGCATTGATTTAACATTTCTAAGGTACTAAAAACAATGAACTTATTAATAAAGTGGATAAGGCATTTGCCGTCCCAAAAAGGGATTGATCTACTTCCATTTGTACATTCGTAGTGGCGTTTGAATGCGATGTGGCCTATACAATGACTTGCGGGGGCCAGCCGATGTACAAGTCAGTGTTTTTATCCTCCCAGACAAGTCTGGTACCAATTAACCGACCCCGGAGGGATGGAAGGCTTGGTTGGCCCGGGCGACTCACGACCCAGGATTTGATCCCCGGACCGCTCGCGTGGTAAGCGTGCCACTTGCCACTACACCACTTCCGCCCTTCAGAACTTATTACTATGTTGAAATACTTTATTCTTCCAAGTTCGAATAGATAGTAGATGCATAGTACGTCTTGAGTAAGTCGGCTCAGCATCGGGCCATCTTACCATTTACCTTTACGACTTTCTAGGTGACATTATTGGTTTATTTCAATGTGCTTATGGAATTTAATGAGTTTGTTTTGATTGGTAATAATATAATAATAGTAATGGCTTACGGTAATAGTAGTGATTCATTGACGTATGCGTAGGAGTTTCAGCTGAAAGCGGTTGAGTAGCGAGAACGCATCTTAGCGTTGGTGTGACTGAGTGCTTATTCGACATTCTAGGCAACGGTTTGCGTGTTTCGTCATCGATGACTGACAACCACCGCAACACAACGGACAGCAACACGACGACGTTTGCAGTGATCGGCAGCAGCGGTGACGGCGGCGGCGACAAGGACCGACTCTCTCAACCTGTGCGATCCTCATTGCGATCGGACAGCTCCACGCCCTCTCGACATCGTGTTACCCTGAGTCCTGGTTGGTTAATTTAGCCATTTGCTACCATGCTTTGGCCTCTTAAGTGGTTTGGACGAAGTCTGTCTAATTACCAGTGTTGACAGTGTTAATGCGCCATTTTTGGGACATCATCCAAGTCCATATTTTATCATTTTTTCTCTCTTTAGTTTATAGTTCAGTGATAGATGACTATGAAGAAGCTCCGTTTAGTTCAGCGGGTTTCTGCCTTAATTTCTTTTCGGCGTGCGATTAACTCTCACGTCCCACCCACACCCACACCCTACCCGCCCTCCCCTTTGACAGAGGTAAGAAAAAGAGGCTGGCGTCATCTCGGCGAGACCGGACAACGCCGCGCGATGGTCGCGGATCGGCGAGGTAAATCCCGATTGACGGAGAGTTTTCTTCGATGCAAAGGTGCGTTGTCAAGATTCATTAAATCATCTTTTAACCATGGATTGACCTTTTCCTCCGTCTCCTCGCTCCTTTGAGGCCATGAATTGATTCATGACTGAAGCCAATAATGTGGGTTGGGTTTTGCGAGCGCTATTTCGAAATGGGAGAGGGGAGGGGAGGAGGCAAGGGGTGAATAGTTAAAGAAGAGGTGGTTGAGGGAAGAAGGCCATTAAGTGGTTATTGTGCAGAGAACTGCAAAGCAAATGCAGGCAGTCATTGCTGACCAGGAAATGAGGATCAAATAGGCTTGTTACGGCTTACACTTATTATTACTTCGCTGTTCTTCTTGGTCTTTCCAAGTTTGATAAGCTACGATATGTCTCCTGATTTTTTCATCACTTTGTATTTCGAACTAGTAATATGAACTGCTAGGTGCACAGGCTTGCTCCGCTTCTGAGTAGTGTTCGTTTGTTGTTTGTCATTGGCTAGTTTTTTTTTCGCTCTAAGGGAGTTCATGATTGTCCTAGTCTCTTCCTTTTTTTCCGCGTTAGAATTCACTATGAGTGAATCGTTTCTTGCTTGAATCCTCTGTTTGAGTCGCCTCTTTCCTATTTTGTTTCATTTTTTTTTTCATTAACACAGAAAGTTTTATCTGTGTTTCCAAATTTTCCGACGAAGGGTACTTTCCTTCGTGCCTAAACGCAAAAAAATTTTTTGGGAAAATCTCTTGACTATCATATTTTTGGATTGCTTGTTTGGACGTTGGCTTTATAGACGTGGAATGATTTCGTTTGTTAAGGAGCGGCTGGAAGATGCTCGTGAAGCGAGTCATGCGTCGCCAATAACGACGCAACGAAGTCGACCACGAGCTTATCTGAAACCGGCTCTGGATCCAGAAAACACTGTGATCGTATTCCCTAGTGAAGATTTGATTCCTATGGTATAGAGGTAAGTGACTGCTAAAAGGAGCTGTTTCCTGACTAGGCGTTATCCTTCAGGTAACGGGTGTACAAGATGATCCGGCGTCGACAAGTGGACGCCTTTCTGCCGTTCAAATCTTACGAATTGAACCTGATGGTCGGGTTGGGATGGATGGTCGGTTAGCCGTTGGTGACAATATTGTTGAAATAGACTATCGACCGGTTTATCAGGTAGGATTTGAGTTTTTGTAGCTTTTCCAAATTGGATGACGTTTTTCTAATCAGTTCAATTGGTTTTCAGATGTCGATTGTCCGTGCCAGAGCCTATCTAAGCGAACTGCAGTCACGTGCCGAGCCGTCGTTAACGGTCGCTCGACCGCCTTCCTCGTTTGCAGATGATCCGTTCTCGAGAAGCCAGCCTGGGACGTCATCGCTGCAAAATCGACCGATCTTGTCAGCACTTCAGCAAGCGAACACTGTTCATATTGGTCATACGAAGGTGGTTGAACTGCAGAAAAGTAAGCGGGGCTCTATTTTTCCCTTCCTTTTTGTTCATAAGTGGGATGGTGTGGCGGCAAGAGACGTCATAATAATAAAACAAACTACTAACATATTCAAACCTTCCCACGCAATCCACCATTTCTGGGTTAGTTGTACAGAGACTTATTAGAAGGAAAACAACATTTACATGAATCCGCCCCTGCCAATTATAAAGCTCGAATGAACATTCAAGTAAATTTTCTTCTATCCATCAGAAATAAGAACTAGGTAGAGTGCGTGGCGTATCTCAACTGGCTGATCAGCGTCGATCGCCTATTGTTTATATTGAGGCCGTCCTATTTAAAGCAACTAGCCCAGCAAAGTCATGTCGAAGAATCTGTGCAGTAGCTTACGAGTATCACAGATGTTCCATTGTTGCGTGGCGAAAGTGTGCGACAATAGCGCTGGGGCTTTCTTTGGCGAGTAATGTAGCCTTTAGACCTGATATCCCGCGCTCGCCCTCACGCAGCGTTGATTGGATTACGTCGTAGCGGATAAGATAGCCGATAAGTAGATAGATATGGTAGCCTTATCGGTTGATACGGTTGCGCTGAAAGAATTTTCTAAAGACGTAATTTTTTCCATGCCATCATTATCAATCGCGTTATCGTTATCGTTATGTTATCACACCAGTTAGAACTGGAGATGTTGCTTTAAGCTTAAAGGCAGCGATTACGATAGATCTCAAAGGGGTTTAGAGGGGACGTGGGGTCTCAATAGTACGCCAATGGCGAAAAAAGCAAAGAAATCCGTCAAAAATAAGCAAAATAGTACCCCTTTGATTGCCCTTTCATTTTCGACCATGGATGAGCGACGGTAAAGAACGACGTTGTTCGGACGTGTTAACCCCGATAGCCGCCATCATGCCAACAAGCATAGTGTTTTGATTGATAAGGCATTACATGGGCAAGTTGGAAGATACAGCCGCTAGAAAGGAAATGATCTTCCAAAATGAAAAGCCAACAGCAAACAGCTCGCCCAAGTCACCG